AACGCATTATATACACATCACTTTTCCTTCATACATTGATGGACACAGGCTGTTTCACATTTTGATTGTGGAGAATAATGTTGGTTTGAACACGGCTATATTTAAGTACACCTTTTTTGTTGTTGGGGCTCACTCTATAGCTCAAGTTAGCCTCAAACTCTCAACAGTCCTGTCTCATCCTACTGAGTGTTGGGATTACAGATAGGTTTTGCGGAGGCCCACCTATCCCCCTAGCTTCTTGTTTTTGTGGTCAACCTTAATGGTGCTCAGCACAAAGGGCCTCCACCAACTCAACATATGTTGGCTCATCACAGCTGGAGGCAAACACACAGAGATGGGCTTGGCACTTGTTCAAGGCTTTGGCAGCTTCGAAAATTCCACGTGCACGCCATCATGGATGAGGGCAGTCTTCGGCACCTTGTGTAAAGCAGTGTTAACATCCATTACACCTCTAGCAGCAATTCCTCCTTGGCCGTGGTGGTGGATTACAAGTGGAGCCAAATCCTGAATACACCCTCTGGGTGATCCTTTGGCAGCAGGGGAAAAGCACATCTGTTCTTTTATATAGCTGCATAGTATTCCATCACAGGACATCCCTGTTTATTCACCCAGACTTCCCTAACAGTATTATGCTGGCCATAGTGGGTCTACCATAAATGTCTTGGGCCAATATCATCTTGCTCATGGAGGACAGAACAATTCTGGCTATGGAAGAGAAGTAGAGGAGGAGGGATAGGATGTGCCTGTCCCCATCTGTTACTTACACAGCCTCCTCTGCCCCCTGTAGGCCATTAATGCTGCCAAACACGGAGTGATCGGAGTGCTGGTGTACACGGATCCTGGTGACATCAATGATGGGAAAAGCTTGCCCAATGAGACCTTCCCTAATTCCTGGGGCCTACCTCCTTCTGGCGTGGAGCGAGGTTCCTACGATGAGTATTTTGGGGATCCCCTGACTCCCTACTTCCCAGCCCACCCCTCTTCCTTCCGCCTGGACCAGAACAACACCCCTGGATTTCCCCCAATTCCTGCCCAGCCCATTGGCTTTGAGGACGCCAAAGACCTGCTCTGGTGAGTGCCTGTCCCAACTGTCTCCAGGCATCTGTGAACGCCAAACTCACCCTCACAGGCATTCTCTCTCTCTTCCACAGTAACCTCAATGGAACCTCTGCCCCACAGTCCTGGCAGGGAGGGCTGGGCTGCGACTACAAGCTGGGGCCTGGCTTCCAGCCGGCTGGAAGCTTCCCAGAAAACAGGTGAGGCAGGGCCCTCCTTCCTGTCTTCTCTTCCCTCCACCTCAAGGCCTGCCCCTCTTCCCTCTCCCAGTCTCTCACCTGACTCTTAGATGCCTGCTTGTTCTTTGGGGGATGCTCATGAAATAGCTGTGACCCATCAGATCCAGTGGGGTTTTCCTGCCCCTCCTACCTGCTTCCCACCCCAACCACTCCCTGCGAGCCTGGGTCACTCCTGGCCAGTGTCTGCTTCCCCACCTACAGCATCCCTGGTCACCAGATGTCCCCTCTTTCCAGGCTCTTATCTCTTACAACTGTTCTCTTCCTAGAGGTCAGTTCACTCAAGAGAGGACAGTCCCTACAGTCTCTGTCTGAATGCCTCTGTCAGTCTGTGAACACTGCAGAACAGAGTACAGAGCTGAGTTCAGAGCTGGGCACTCTGTGGTCCAGAAAAATGGTTACTAAGTGACTGAGGCTTCTAACCAAAAAAGCACTCCTGCATTTGATAGTGGGACAAGAAAGGACTAAAGCTCTCACCATAGCCTTCACTCTCCCCTCTCCACTACCTCCCAGTCAGGTGAAAGTGAATGTCTACAACAGCTTGGTGCTGAGGAACTCCTCCAACGTCCTGGGGATCATCCACGGGGCCGTGGAGCCTGGTGAGCCTGTTTATACTGCGGTACCAGCCCTACCATGCCAGGCCTGCCACACCCCTTCCAGTCCCCCCTGGCTGCAACCCAGCCTTCCCTCCACCCTCTTGTTGCCCCCTCTCTGCCCCTCTGACTTTGCTCCTCTCACCAGATCGCTATGTGATCTATGGAAACCATCGGGACAGCTGGGTGCATGGGGCAGTGGACCCCAGTAGTGGCACCTCAGTCCTCTTGGAGATCTCCCGTGTCCTGGGGACCCTGCTGAAGAAGGGTGAGGCCACTCTCCTCCCTGGTCATCTAGAAGCCCCAGGATCATCTCTAGTCCATTCCTGTTCCTTCTGATTCCAGAGCCCACCTGAGCCAGGCTGCTGAGGACCCTGGAGGCAGAGATGCCCAGGTCCCAGACCTGGCCTCAGGAGCCCAGGGGCTCAGTCAGGGTCAGGCTGTTGATTCATGCAGAGCAGTCTCCAGGGGCCTCTTGTGTTCCTGGGTGGAGTCAGGCCCCAGGGGCTGTGAGCACAGTCAGCCCAGGCTCTGCCCACTGGGTGCCATACCTTCTGAGGTAGGTCTGTCTGTGTGGGTGACTCTCTAACCCATGAGCACCTCATACAAAGGGTGGCAGATCCTCAGGGATGGTGAAGGTGGGGTGGACAGTCATGAGGTCAGGCAGCCCAGTTCTGGCTTTGGAGCTTGGTCCATGGATCATGGCAGGTGAGGAAGGATTTTAATCAGGATCCTGACACAGGCTAGTACCAGTTTAAGCTTTCCTGTAGGCAGTGAGGAGGGGAAAGGTTGTGTGGAGGGATCAACACGGATGTCTTCCTCAGGAGTGAAGGTGGTGTGGGGCCTGCCCCAGGTTGGGGACAGTGCGGAGGAGAGGGTCTACTGGCCTGGGGTCTGTGGACTACCAAGGGAAGGGAGACGATGAGGGGATGACTCTGGTCTGAATAACGGTGCCTTTTTTTTTGGTCTTTTTTGAGACAGGGTCTCCCTGTAGCCCCAGGTGGCCTGGAACTTACTATGTAGACCAGGCTGGCCTTGAACTCACAGAGATCCGCCTTCCTCTGCCTCCCAAGTGCTGGGATTAAAGGAACGATGCCTATTTTTAAAGATTTAATTTATTTATGGGGGCAGGGACATAGGCCATGGCTTGTGTGCAGAGATCAGAGGATAATTCTTGGGAGTCAGTTGTCTCCACCACATAGGTCTCAGGGACTGAACTCAGATCTTCAAGCTTGGTGGCAAGGGCCTTTACCTGCTGAGCTACCTTGGTGGCCATTTATTTCTAATATGTTTATTATTTATCTAGACAGGATCTCATATAACCCAAGAGTCTCCAACTCTTTTTTTATTATTTTTATTTTATGTGCATGAATATATTTTCTACATGTGTGTAAGTGCACCTGTGTCATGCAGTGCCCACAAAGGTCAGAAGAAGGCCTCAGATCCCCTGGAACTGGAGTTACGTGATGGTTGTTAACCACCATGTGGGTGCTGGGATTCAAACCCAAGTCCTCTGTGAGAGCAATCAGTGCTCTTACCCACTGAACCATCTCTCCAGCCCTGAGTCCCCAACTCTTGCTCTCCTTCCACATCTTGGTTTGAGGTGGTGCCATTTATGAAAAACAAGAGGCGGCCAGGGGACAGATCTGGGGGAAGAAGTGAATTTGTTGGTGCTGGGGCTCCACAAAACAGTGCTAGGGCTGTGGCTCAGTTGGCACAAGGCTTGTCTCACATTCACACATCCCTGGGTTTGATCCCCAGCCCTACATAACCAGGTGGTACACACTTGTAATCCCAGCATTCAGAAGTTCAAGGTCATCATCAGCTACATAGTGAGTCAGAGGTTAGCCTGGGGCACATGAGACCCTGCCTCAAAAAAGGAAGGAAGGAAGGAAGAAGGGCAGGAAGGAAGGAGAAAAAAACAAATATGCTTAACAAAATTTAAGAATTTTTACCATATTAAAGTTTTTTTAAGTTTTTGATTTATTTTTATTTTATGTATATGTGTGTTTTGCCTCCATGTATGTAAATACACCCATGTTGTGCAGAGCCCGAGGAGGATAGATGAGGGCTTTAGATCCCCTGGAACTGGAGTTACAGATGGTTGTTAGCCACCATGTGGGTGCTGGGATTCAAACATTTGCAGCCAGTACTCTTAACCACTGAGCCATCTCTCCAGCCGCTGCATTTTAAAGTTTTAAGTGGTTAATTCAGTAGTATTACATGTGGGTGAAGCTTACCCCCATCCATTTCCAGAACTGTTGGAACTCCCCTGACATCACCAGGCGATAACCATGTAATTTGAGTCCATGGCAACTTAACTTTCATCACACAAAAAAATCCCAAGACCTTAAGCATCATCCATCTCCCTTCCATGTGATTGATATAGCAAAGTGCATCTTTATGTATTGTGCACCTTGTCACCAAGTGATCTTGAGGAGCCCAGGAGACACCCAGAAGTTGAAGGTACCAGTTTCCAGGCTGGAAAAAATACCTAAGAGTTGGGCATGGTGGTGCATGGATTTAATCCCAGCACTCAAGAGGCAGAGGCAGGCAGATTTCTGTGAGATGGAGGCCAGCCTGGTCTACATAGTGTTCCCTCAAATCTGAGGCTATATGAAACCGGAGGGAGGGAGGGAGGGAGGGAGGGAGGAAGGGAGGGAGGGATGAACCGAGAAGTTGATGGCAAAGATGGGAAGTCAAACTCCAGGTGTCCCTAAACTCAGCTGAGGGGGGCAAGTGACAAGCCAGGGGGAGAGGCTGTGCTTCTGACTGCGCCCTGGGGTAGTACAGAAATATCTCTCTTGTTTGTTTTGTTTTCTTGAGCAAGGTCTTGTCTTGCTATGTAGCCCAGGCTGGCCTGTAACTCATGATCCTGCTGCCTCAGCCTCTCAAGAGCTGAGATTACAGGTGTGCAACACTATGCCTGGCTCTGTCTTTGTTTTTTGAGACAGCATCTCGCTATGTAGCCCAGGCTGGCCTTGAACTCCTGGGCTCAAACAATCTTCTTTCTTGAGCCTCCTGAGTAGTTGGAGCATATTTTTTTATTTATTAAAATATTTTATTTATTATTTTTATTTTATGTGTATGAGTGTATTGCCTGCATGTATGTGAGTGCATCCGTGTCATACAGTGGCGCAGAGGTCAGAAGAGAGCTTCAGATTCCCCTGGAACTGGAGTTAAAGATGGTTCGTAGCCACCATGTGGGTGCTGGGAATCGAACCCGGGT